CTATGTGGAACTTACTTAACTCTATGTGGAACTTACTTAACTCTATGTGGAACTTACTTAACTCTATGTGGAACTTACTTAACTCTATGTGGAACGAACTTACTCTATGTGGAACGAACTTACTCTATGTGGAACGAACTTACTCTATGTGGAACGAACTTGCTCTATGTGGAAGTAGGGTCCCTGGAAGAGGAGATAGAAAGAAATGTTGAAGAAACAATTTTTTACCAGTTTAATGCAAATTACAAACCTATAGATTTAAGAATCTTAACCAAAGTACAAGAAATCTCAACTAAAGTCCACTAAGGTGTACTGATCCAATTTCTTAAAACCAATGATACAACTAAAAAGTGATTTTTTAGTTGACCTTTCTAGAAAAAAAAAGAATAGCTTTGCTTACCTTTCTTGAAAGTAGTACCTTTTTTTGTAATACACAATTTTAAACTTGCAGGGCAACCATTATACATTTCTGTTAATTGTACTATGCCCAAATGGAATTTCTCTAAAGTTTGGTTGATTTTGTTTAAATTATGATTGTATATTTTTTTTAATTAATGCTTTCAGCATGAAAATAAATTAAGTGTTGAATATTAAAGCTACTAAAATCATTAGCCAACATTTTTCTGAGTGACATAGTTAAGTTCATATAGAGGCCTAACAATTTGAAGATGATTATATATGTGTTGATTTCTTGATCTTGTATGTAGGCCTTTACAAGAATGAGCTACACCTTCTTAAAGTGAGACTTGTGCTTGCTTGTTTCTCTGTGGTACACATGTTCAGTTCTGGGTCAAGGTTGAGAACAATACACAATGACTTTATTTTCAACTCAACTCAGATGATTTCTGCCCTTGCTTTTGATGCTTATTAAACAAGAGCCCGCACACACAGAAGAAGTTGAAAACTGGCAAAAATGTTCATTGTTCTCCTAAAATGGTAGAAGACTCTTCTGTCCTGTAAGTCAGAATTGTAGAGAGTCAGATCTGTAAATGTCATCTCAAGTGTAAGATCATCTATAGTCCATAAACTGACTCCTCTCAAAGTCAAGTTCTCATACTGAATAGAAGATTCTGAGACAGTGTTGGTATATATTATAAAACATGCTTTGTTATTGTTAGATGCCATCAAGTTTGTCCTGACTCATGGCGACCCTACGCACAGTACACTGAAACATTGCTCAGTCTTGTGCTGTCCTTAAAATTGTTTTTACTTTTCAGTCCTTTGTTGCTGCCACTGTGTCCGCCTCATTGGTGGTCTTCCCCTTGTTTGCTGACCCTCTATTTTACTAAGCATGATGTCATTCTCCAGAGACGGGTCCCTCCTGATTACGTGTTCCTAAGTATGAGAGATGTAGTGTCACTATCCTGGCTTCTAAGGAGCACTTTGGCTGTACTTCTTCGAGATTTGTTTGTTCCTTTAACGATCCATGGTACTTTTAATATTATTCTTCAACATGATAATTCAGATGCAGCAATTCATCTTCAGTCTTCTTGAGTCATTGTCCATCTTTCATGTGCATATGAGGTGATTGTAAATACCTTAGTTCTCAAACTGATAGCTTTGTACTTTTAATATTTTCAAGAGGTCTTTTGCAGCACATTTGCTTAATGCAGTATGCTGTTTGATTTCTTGGCTGCTACTTCCCTGAATGTTGATGCTAGATCCAAGCAAAATGAAACTTTTGACAACTTCACAATCTATTCTCCGTTTATTATGAATGTTACTGGTCCAGTTGTGAGGATTTTTGTTTTCTTTACATTGAAGTACAATCCACACTGAAGGCTGCAGTCTTTGATTTTCATTAGTATTTTAAACTTACTCAATCTGTATGCTGAGCAAATACAGTAAAAGGATATGACCCTGGTACACACCTTTCCTGATTTTCAAAAATTGGGCATTTTTTTTTTTTGTTGTTGTTCTAAGAACTTTTTCTTAGTCTACATGCAGGTAGGTTCCTCATGAGTGCAGTTAAGTGTTCTCTAATACCCTTCTTCACAGTGTTACATGTAGCTTGTCATAATCTACACAGTTGAAAGCCTTTTTATAAAGTATAAGTATATATCTTTCTCATACTCTGCTTTCAGCCAAGGTTCAACTGATGTTAGCAGTGATATCCTTCGTCCCATGTCTTCTTCTGAATTCAGATTAAATTTCTCGCTGCTCCCTATTGGTGTACTACTGCATTCATTTTTAAATTAACAGCAAAACTTTACTTGGCATATGGTATTAATGTTATTTGAGGCTTTCTGCAGTCTCATGGTTGACCTCACTTCTCTTTGGAATGGGCACAAGTATGGATCTCTTCTAATTGATTGATCTTCCTAATTTCTTGGCATAGATGAGTGAGTGCCTCCAGTGCTGCAGCAGTTTGTTGAAAGATTGCAATTTTGTAGTCCATCAATACCTGGGGACTTGTTTTTCACCAATGCCTTGAATGCAGCTTGAACTTGTTCCCTCAGTACATTGAATCTTTATCATATGCTACCTCTTGAAATGGCTAAATACCGACCATTTCTTTTTGGTATAGTAACTACATGCATTTCTTCCAGCTTCTTTCGATGTTCTCTACATCATTAACTAGTTTGCCCATAGCATCCTCTACTATTGTTAACTATAGACTTGAATTTTGTCTTCAGATTTTTTTCACCTTGAGTAATGTTGAGCATGTTCTTCCCTTTTGGTTTTCTAACTCCAGATCTTTGCTTATTTCTTAGAAATACTTTATCTTCTTGAACTGCCCTTTAAAATTTTCTGCTCAGCTCTTCTACCTTCTCATTTCTTCCATTCACTTTAGCTTCTCTACGCTCAAGAGCAAGTTGTCAGAGTCTCTTCTGACACCCCATTTTTCATTTTTTCCTGTCTTTTTAATGACCTTTTGCTTTCTTCCTGTATGATGTTCTTGGTATCATCCCACAACTCTTCTGGTCTTTGGACATTAGTATCTAATGCATCAAGTCTGTTCTTGATATGGTCTCTAAATTCTGGTGGGATGTAATGAAGATCATAATTTGATTCTCATGGACTTGTTTTAATTTTCTTATGCTTCAGTCTGAACTTAACGTAAAAGTAGTTGATCTGTTCCATTGTCTGCCCCTGGCCTTGTTTAGGCAGACAATAATTGAGTTTTTCCACGGTCTTTCCCCACAGGTGTAGTCAGTTTGATTCTTGTGTATTTTATCTGGTGAAGTCCATGTATATAGTCATCTTTTATGTTCCTTACAAAAGGTATTTGCAATGAATGTCTTTGGTCTTAACAAAACTATATCATGTGCTCCCCAGCATCATTTCTATCACCAAGGCTGTATTTTCCAACTATTGATCCCTTCCTCTTTGTTTCCAACCTTTGCATTCCAATCACCAGTAAAGATCAATGCATCATAATTGCATGTTGAATCAATTTCAGACTGAAGAAGTTGGTAGAATCTTCAGTTTCATCATCACTAGCTTTAGTGGTTGGTGTGTAAATTTGAACAATAGTGCTGTTAACTGGTCTTCCTTTAGGTGTGTGAATACCAGAGTCGGTATTGTACTTCTAGACTTTGAAATGTTCTTTTTGACAGTTAATGCAATGCTTTTCCTCTTGAACTTGTTTCTGGCATAGTAAACCATATTACGATCTGATTCAGAATGGCTGGTTAACAGTCCATTTGAGTTCACTAATGCCTAGGATCTGTATGCATTCTGTTGCATTTTTGACAACTTCTAATTTTCCTAGATTCATACTTCATACATTCCATGTTCCAGTTATTAATGGATGTTACAGCTGTTGATCCTTATTTGAGTTGTGACCTCTCAGCAAATGAAGGTCCTGAAAACTTTGCTCCTTTCACATCATATGGACAGCTCTATGAGAAGGCAGCTCTTCCCTAGCTATACTTTGAGTACCTTCAAACCTGAGGGGCTCATCTTCTGGCACTTAATCTATCAGTGTTCTGCTGCTATTTATGACATTTTCAGTGGCTGAACACTGAGAAACAGTGCTGATGTGTTTGTTCTATGCGCCATATATTGTCTTGTCCGTGCCTTGGAGTGCCCACATAGGAGATCACTGCTGTAAAGGGTAAATACAACTCAGGTGTCTCTTGGCTTTTGTTTTTTTTTTTTCAAAGCAGATTTTCATAGGCAAATCAGGAAGATTGAAGGCATGTAGACTTGGTGGTTTTATACACACCTGGTATGGCGCTGTGGGATAATGCACTAGAATTCAAGGTCAGTGGTTCAGACTCACCAGCTGCTCCATGGAAACCCTATACAGGGTCCCTATGAATCGGAACTGACTCTTAAGACACGTAACAACAACAACACATCTTATTTGGGGCCCTGGTGTGGTGTTGTAGGATAAACACTAGGCTGGTAATCACAAGGTTAGCATTCAAATCCACCAGCCCCTCGTGGGAACCCTATGCCAGGTTGCTATTAGTTGGAACCAACTCAATGGCACTTATAACAAGAGCTTTATTTTTGTAGAACACCAATGTATATTAAAGTTCCAATATGTGTGATGGTTCTGCATGTTTTCCATATTTGAGAGTCCAGACCTTAAATCTAAATTTGCATTAGGAATTTTTAATTTTATGAAAATTTAAAATCACAATAAATAATTTTGATGTCCATCTTTGTCAGCACTTTTTCTTGACCAAACTGATTTTTGTTTAGTGCCTTGTCTTTGCACTAACTCTCTCTGTACTTTGGCACAATCTGCTTTTGTATCTGGAAAGTAGCATTTAGCCTACACATGGGCCCTAGAAATCAGCTAGCCATTGAAGTGTCTGGCATCATCTGGACTTTTTCCTCCCAAGTTGAATGTGACTGAACCTGCTAGCCAGGTCAGAGTCTTCATCAATTGAGGCCTTCTTATTGAATTGTGATTTTTTTTTTTTTTTTTTCCTGTGTGTGTTTCTTTAAAACAGTGGTTTTCAACCTTGGCTAAACATTAGAATCAGCCTTGGAATATCCTAGAAATACAGTGTCCATGTCTCACCCCCATACATTTCTGTCACAATTGGGCTTTGGAGGAAAAAAAAGGGAAGAGTTCCTCATGTCCTGGTGATTGTAATTTGCAGTTGGTGTTGGGACAGCAAGCTCTCCTCATGTTTACTGAGCAGTTCTGACTCAATGGACCAGATCTCACTTCTACCAGGGTCTGTTCCCAGCATCTAGCAAGGGAGGAGGGTGTTGCATTTGTGTGATGGTGTAGGTCATACTGAGTGGCTATTTGTGCTCTCATTTCTTTATCTCCCCACTGCAAGGATGCAGACTATAAAGACAGTCCCCTTCATAGACACAGGGGCTCTCTGTTTCGTGGCTTTAGAATAGTCCGTCTTTGAGAACACACCACCCACTGTCTGGAAAAGAATTCATTCTAGTTATTCACAAAAATTGTAATTGTAATTGTAATAGTGTCTCTCCTTGGTGTGACACTCTGGGATAAGCACTGGACTGCTAGCTGCAAAGTTGTCAGTTCAAACCTACCATTTGCTCCTCAGAAACCCTATACAGGGTCCCTATGGGATGGAACTGACTTGATGGCACTTCACAACAACGAATTCCTGTCTCATCCACAGTGAGTGTTGCAGAGAGCTGCTGGACACAGTGGATAACTACGCCGTGCTCCAGCTGGATATAGTGTGGTGCTACTTCCGCTTGGAGCAACTGGAATGCCTTGATGATGCAGAAAAAAAATTAAAGTTGGCCCAGAAATGCTTTAAAAATTGCTATGGAGAAAACCATCAGAGACTGGTCCACATAAAAGTATGTTACTGCAATTTGTATATTGTGCTGCCCTTTTCTAGAATTTATTTCTTTTATAGGATTTCGATTGCTGTCCAAGGGTACTTTTGATAGTATCATGTACTTCTTTTAAAGCTGTATTTTTAAAGTGATTGTTAAAATATTTTACAAGTCTAGCTGCTGTTCTGTTTATGGCCCAGAAAAACAGTTTTGTAGTCACAGGACCCCATTGGTGGTTACCCTCAAGCAAGAGGGAACAGATGATGTGTAGCCACCCTGTGGAGTCTAAGGGAAGATGTAAGCACAGAAAATAGACATGTTGATCAGCATTCATTCACATGAAGATCTGAATTATTGTTCTAACACAATTGCAAGAAGTCACCAGAATTGTGCTTGGAAATTGCAGGACAGCACAAGATACCCCTAGACTTGATTTTTGCATATTCCCTACTGACCGGAAGGGCTACTGTCCTGGGTGTTTGGCGTGATAGGAAATCTGATTCCGTTTCTTATGGGTGGTACAGGGTAATGTCATTGTGCTCTGGGACCCTCCCTCACTTTTACCTCTAGTGATGGTGAACATAAAAAAAATGTTACGGATACTGTTTTGCTTCTGTGAAGATGACAGGACTTACAATTGAGATTGTTATATAACTGTAGTTAGAAGACATTTATCCTTTTCTTTTTTATCTTGATAATTTTAGGGAAATTGTGGTAAAGAGAAGGTATTGTTCTTAAGACTTTACTTGCTTCAAGGTATTCGAAACTATCACAGTGGAAATGGTGAAGAGGCTTGTGAGTATCTCAACAAGGTAAGAAAATGAGCACTCTGAAGTTGTTACCATTTCACCTGCCTCTTATTTCCAGTTCCCAGAAGTTCAGTATTTTATAAACTTCCACATAGTTTGTGATCTGTGAGAAACATGTAGCTCTCTCTCCCTCACACTGTAACATATATATAAAAGGTATTATAATAAAAGAAACCTTAAAACAGTGACTTTGTTTGGGTAAAAGTACTTATCTCTCCTCTAACTGATGTGAGCAGGCCGGCCAGCAGGGTGATACTATAGCAGGGCCTCTTCAGAGACACAGCCCAGCAACTGAAGCGGCACTGCTGCTCACCTCCCCATCCAACTGTGAGCATGAGAGGGCGGAGCAGCCAGGTGCACAGGGGGTTTTTATTGTAAAGAAAGGGATTATGGGTACCAGTCCCTTCCACAACACCCATAGTATTTTCTCATCCTGTGTTACCTATGACTTACGTTAGCACAGATAGTGTTAACTGTCTCTATTTGTAGTATTTGATAAGAGGTCATGTTTAGAGTTTTTCTCTAAAAAATCAGGCATACCCTAATTCACTTGAGTACAATCAAAGTTTTTTGCAGACTTTAGCTTTATATGAAACTTAATATTCCTATAGTGATACTATTCTTAATTTTTTTCCCTGTTACAGGCACGTCAGCTCTTTAAAGAGCTATACATTGATCCATCAAAAGTTCATAATTTGTTACAGTTGGGATTTACAGCACAGGAAGCCCGGTTGGGCCTGAGGGCATGTGATGGGAACGTGGATCATGCAGCTACTCATATCACCAACCGAAGAGAGGTGAGGACTGGACAGACGCCTCCTAGCTGAGGCTCCACTTTGGTCTTTGAGTAGGCTGTGACATTTGAGACAGTTCAGTTTTACTTTCTGAGAGGCCTTAGTTCTCTTGGATATGCAAGAACAGAAAAGGGTAATTCTGCAGTAGGTATGAAATAACAAGGAACTCTTTATCACTGACAGAAACTTGTCTTTTTTATTGTATCAGTTATTTGGCTGGTGGCAATTAGCTCAATGGTATTGTTATACATATAATCTTCTCTTCTTAAAAATAAATCATGGTGTATGCCTGGAAGTCATAGTAAAAGGGACTGTTTTTCCATTAGAACATTTTTATAATTTAGGATCATTTTCTTGCCTAGAAACGTGAGTCAAATCACAGGAACAACTGGTAAGATAGTACAAAAAGCATGATTAGAAACAACATTCAATATGAGTAAGTTTGAATTTTGAAATTGGAGGGAGCCTTTGTAAATCCAGTATGCTAGTTTTATAGTGAAGATCCAAAGAGAGCCACATCAAAGAAGTTGTAACTGGATTTTCTTACAGGCCTATTTAGCTGTAAGCTCCAGCCATAGAAGTCTCTGGAATATTCTCATTTCTGTATTCTGGCCTTTTTGCCCAGCACACAGGATAATCATAAGGAGAGTAACAGCCTGAGGTGGTATTTGGAAGTGGGCAAGGAACACCAGTGTGCTGGTGGGAGTAGATGGCAGCCAGTCCAAAGGGTGTCTCGGTTTCTCTGGCCGTGATAGTTACCTTTCTCTCTCTTTCTCCCAGTAGTCCGCCCCTGACTTCTCTCCTAAATCATGTTCCACTGGATCTTGCTATAGAAGTCAATGAGTAGGTAAAGGCAAAGACTTTAAAAAACAAAATTGTTTGCATTTTACACAGTCTAATTCAGTACTCGATGTTACCTCAACAACTCAATACTAATAGGCAAGCATTGCTTATACTGCATTTGTTACTTGATCATCTATAAAGTTTTATTAACATTTGGAAAACCAGTATTCAGTCCACATATTTGTGTAATACTTTATACTTAACAATATCATGATTGTAAAATGTTTTGTAAAATTCTGCCTATGACCACCTATGTCCACTAGAACAATTCATTTTCATTTTACAAATGAAGAAAACTGTGGTTCAGAGATGGACTTTTCTAGGATCATGGGTCAGAGGCATGGTAAAACCTGAGAACGTCCGTTTTCCATACACTTTCCCTTTCCCATCTGAGAACGATATTTGATTTGTTGTTAGACAAAAATGTTTGAAGAGCCAAGAGAGAGATAGTAAAGTGATAAACATTGCCTCTTCGCTTCTGTAACTTTGTAAGGAAAAATTAATATTTTAAAAGGATAGTGAAGTCCTATCACATAAAAATAATGTATATAGTACAGTTGACTTTGCTCATTATTTTTCCCAGTGGACATGTATTCACTGGATGCTTGGATTGAAAGCAACCAAAAAAAAAAAAAGGAAAATACAAACTGGGTTAAACAAACAAAAAAAAACCCCAACAACAAAAAAGAAAATGTAAAGGTTAGAAGTGGGATATGTTTTAGGATTACGTGACTCAGTGACGTAACAGTGCCTTTGATGACATGGTTTCTGCCTACTTTCTGCCTTCCCTGTGTTACTTTGTCACACCAGGAGAGGGATAGAGGTGCCACAAGCATCAGGGAACATCCTTGGCTTCTCATTGGTCAGGGTACTGCCCCAATCTGATTGGCTTAGGCCTGTGGCCAGAGAGAGAGAATTTATCCTCATTAACATATCCCATTCAGAGATTCTGAAACTGATCAGTCTGCCAAGCCTTAGGGAGAAGTAAGCAGATAATTGGGAAAACAACTACTTTGTCCCCTAGAAGGTAAGCTTGGGTGGGAGTCTAAGATAACCAGCTCTAGGTTTGAGCATAATTTCACTGAGCTGAGTATAATACTTAATTCATAAAAGTCTATTTTTCATGCAACATGGCCCTAAGTACAGGCTACTTTCTCGCCTGGTAGGAGAAACTGAACCTGCAGATCTGGGGTCAGCCATGGTGCGGCCATACTGAGAGACATGAGAGTCAGTACAGCAGCCTCCCCAAGAGGTGGTCATGAGTGATTGTGACCATCTAGGGGCTTAAGCCCTAACCTCGAGCCTAATTCTCACAGGAGATCTGATGCTAGTATATTCATTAAATATTTCAGTACTATACTTAGTCATTTATTTGGTCTGCATTATTTTTCTAACTTGTTCAGTTATAAATAGGAATAATCAGAAAGTAATTTTCCCAAAATATTTATTCACATGATTAAAATAAACTTGGCATATACAGCATTACTATCGTGATTTAAGCAAAATTGTTCTTTTGAGGCTCCAGTTTTGTGTCAGATGTGCATTGGATACTGCCTGGATCCTGTGTCTGCCTGGCAATCTCACTCTGCTTGAATGCTATGCATGTTTTAGCCTTTTGAAACGTGGAAGCAGTTCTGATTGAAAACAGAGGATGGGACAGGCATTTGACATGGGGCCTGTGTGTGTGGCACTGTAGGATAAGCCCTGGATCGTAAGGTTGGTTTGAATGGATAGGTCAGCAGTTCAAATCCACCAGCCATTCCTCGGAAACCCTATACAGCAGGGTGGGGAACCTTTTATCTGCCAAAATTTAAAACATCATTTGCATACAAAATTATCAACTTAAAATTAGCCAGCTATATTTGGTCAAGCATTTAAATAACTCACCCCTAATGTGATGGCTGGAACTGTGGTTGCCTTGGCAGGGCCAGACCAAATGAATTCATGGGCCATGTGGCGCCATAGGATAAGCACTTGATCTCAAGACTGATTTAAAGTGCAAGCAGTTCAAACTCATCAGTTGCTCCTTGGAAGCCCTATACAGGGTCGTTGTGAGTCAGAATAGACTTGACGCAGTTAACAACAGCAGCATACAGTCTGTAGGCTGGACGTTCCCCACCCCTGCTATACTGGGTCATTGAGTCAGAACCGACTCTCAGCACTTAACATGTGTGAATAAAGGCATAAAAGTGAAAATGTGAGTGAGTTCTTGGGCCAGGTGCATAGCATGGTTAGGACAGTGTAGCAGAAGGCCAGCTGGGGGTAGGGATCAGATCAGGAAATGGAGACGTGTAGGTGGGTGAGACAGTACGTCCTGTGCAGTGTGAAAGAGGGCAGTGGGGGCAAGGAGGCTACGTGGAGGACTCTGCTGTCGCCTGGGTGAGAGGAATTGGGCAGTTCTCTTCGTTTCTCTGGAGTTCAGGACATTCCAAGCTAAGAATGTTTTAATAGCTGGAGATGTTTACAGCTGTCGCTTGGTCCACCGGGCTTTCCTCTTGACCTGGTGGGAGTTTTTTGTTCTATGGTGATGTTTCTTTTCCTAAGCCTCATTCTTGCCCTAAGGAAGAATGTAGAGGGGCCCTTGCTTGGGCTGAGCCCCAAAGGCTATAGACAGGGAAGAATAGATGCTTAAGAAGAAAAGGCTGTTTCTGCACTAATTCTGCACTTAGAATGGAGTTGTTCATCCAGTGGAACCTACTGAGGAAAGACTAATCAGCCACCAGAAGATGCAGAAGCTTTCGCCCTAGCTCCCCTGGCAGTTCTGTGACCTTGGAAGGCTTCTTAACTTCTTGAGATTTGTTTCCTCATTTGTAAATTGATGAGACTGGATTAAATTCATGGCTTTCAAACGGGCTTTCTTTTTAGCAGTATTTTTATACAGTGCCCAGTTTATAAAACAAATTTAGAATACTTCCTACAGAGGCTGGGGGAGAAATGAGAAAGGACCAGAGCCCTCTGCCCCCCCATTCTCAAGCTCACATCCAACGTTTGAGAACCGCGGGGTTACTCGCCGATGCCGGCAGATGTTTCCCATTTGATAAGTGCACCTGGGATCACCTCACTGAGTGTGGCTAGTGCCACCACGTTCCCACCCACGAAGCCCTCACTTGAGCAGGACCCCCGAGGGTGGATAAGAGGCTGAGGGGATTCTCCCGCCAGTGCTTTCTTCTCCGCTCCTTGAAGATGATCAGTCCACTCCTGGCCTGGCCACCTTCAGTGGCTGGAGCTTGCAAGCTTCCGAGCGACCTGTTCTGGAAGCAGACAGTGTTAGTTTTACCAGGTGCCTCCTTTCTCTGGGCCCACGGCACTCAGTAGATGTCTCCCCCTCGAGCACGCATGCCCTGTGGTGGAAGGACTAAGTAAAGAAGACTCACCCCTCTCTGTTGTGTTTGTTGCTTTGCCTGGCAATCCCAGGAATCCTACAGAACATAGGGTTAGTAGGCATTCGGTGAAACCTTAGTTCAGAACTCATTGCTACTTTGCTGTTTTCCTAAAGGAATTGGCCCAAATAAGGAAAGAAGAAAAAGAGAAGAAAAGACGGCGCCTGGAGAACATCAACTTTTTGAAAGGAATGGGCTACTCCATACAAGCAGCCAAGCAGGCTCTTCGCCAGGCCAGTGGGGACCTGGATGGAGCCCTCAATGTAACTACCTCTCTCTTGTGCTTCTTCCTCCTGCTTTTCTTTATAAGGAGCTCCCCTGGACCCTTCCTGGATTCATTCGTGGAGCCCACGCCTGGGGCCATTCTATTTGTTTTCTCACCCATTGACAGAGACTAAGGGGAGCCTGGCCAATACTCCCCGGCTCAGGGGCATGGCATCTCTTCACAGCTGTGTGTAGCCCATGGGCAGGACTTCATGGGCAGATTTCAGTTTATAGCAAAAAGCTGAATAGTAAAGCAGGCATACCTCACACAGTGGAGAACTAGGGGCACTGCAACTTTTAGTTTAACATAATTTTTATCTACTAAGTCTACAATAAATGGCGGTAAAGGAACTTTAAGAGAAAAAAAAAAATCACAAAGTGACAAAACTTGTTGAGATCCATATAAGTAATAACTTTCCTTGGGTCCATTTCAAGTTTGGTTCGGCAAGCACATTGAATCCATAATCGGGACAGACGCTGTGCTGAGTCTTGGGGACCCACAGGGTAGTGGGCGGAGCACCATGAGATAAGGCCTGCTGTGGGGAAGCACAGGGTGGGGTGGTCAGGGAAGGCATTCAGGAGCAGGGGCTTGGGGCCTGAGTATCGAGGATAGTGGGAGCTAACCAGGCAGTGGAGGGGAAGGTTCTCTGAGCAGACTCAGCAATCACGGAGTGTTGGAGATTAAAGAGGACGAAGGTGCTGGGGGAGCTGTCCAGAGTCATCAAGGCTGAGATGGGGTTAGTAGTGTTCTAGGGGCTATGGTGGGGCCAGAGATGGGGATTGGCAGCTACTGTCTTGTTCGCCCTTATTTGCTCCAGAGTTCACACTTGACCCTGCATGCAGTGGGGCCTCCTAAGTCGGTTGTTTGTTGTTGTTGAAGTTAATAGATTATACACTTAGTTGAAGTTAATAGATTATACACTTAGGACAGTTTTATTACGTTTACCAATAGTGCTTCATATGTAACCCCCATCCTCCAACACACACATAGACAATTTCTCCTGTAAGCATCTTTCATTGCTATGGTACGTTGGTTATACAAAGTGAACTGATATTGGTATGTTTTTGTTAACTGAAGTCCATGGTACATTAGAGTTCAGTCTGTTGTACAAGATGTGTATATCCTTAAGACATGCAAAGAACTTTTTTTTTTAAAAAAAAAATACCTATTTGTTTAAAAACAAATACCTTTAATGAGTTTTTTTCATATGAGTATCTAGTTTTATTTCTTGTATTGCAGAAATATACAAGAGGTAGGAAATTCTGAATACCTGGAGGGACAGATGGGGCTCAAAACTCATTGTAATTATGCAAGTTGTACATAAACTACATGCTTATTTTAAAACATCAAGCCAGTAGAGAAATGTTTAGTGTTAGAAAGGTAAGTGAAAGATAAGTGTGTGGCTGAGAAATTGAGGTCAAATGAAATCTACATCCTGCCTGATATTTTCAGTCTAGATGGCATGACCCAGTCTAGATGGCATGAAGGACATGTGGATATTGGGCCACCCTGACCTGCTTATAAACCCTTTCAGTTTACAGTGCCTATAATTCTTGGCCCCAGAATCTGAACTGTGTTCTTGGAATACTTCTTCCACCTGCTCTCTGTACCTTGCCAACTTCATGCTTTCTCTAGAAGAATGGTCTTTATTTTCCTGGCTCATCTTGCTCATCCTTCAGACCTCAGTGCTAATGTTTCTTGCCTACTGCAGGAAGCTTCTTTGAACAGTAGCCTGCCTGGCCCCCAGCCCGGCTTAAGCATCCCTTTTCTCTGCTTCCAGGGCACCCTTGGCAGAGTCCCCTCACAATGTCCTTTAGTGGACTGCTTGTCCTACTCCTTGACTGAGGTCAGGGGCTGTCTCTGCCTGCAGTTTATGGGTCAGTGGTGGTGATCAGTAATGGGTATTCCTGTGTGTTTTTAGATTCTGTTCAGTCATCCACAGATGTGGTTAAATGATTCAGAACCTGAAACCAGCAGCCTTCAAGAAAGTCCTTCTCAGGAAAATATTAACCAAGTAAGTGAGAATGCAAAGTGCCCCGCTGGGCTTGCCCAGCATTTTATGGGTCTGGTGGGGGTTTTGAGGTTGGTTGGTGGCGGGGGCTGAGTGTGTGATATCATAGTCCTGGGAGATGCCTTGGTGGGCCAGCCAGGTTGAGAAAGCTTCCTTAGAGAGGAGGGAATATGAGAAGGCAATCTTCTTGAGGGATTTTCCTCTTACATGCTTTTCATTCAGCCTCACTTCTCTGCCTGTGATCTTAAAGGAGGTCACTATTGCTCTGAAACACTGTCCACCTGGAATGCCCCAAATGTTAAATATCCACAAATTAGTATGCCTAGTACATGTGGTGACTTCATTAGTGGTAGCAGTAATTGGCACTTCCAACAGTTTTCTCTCAGTCCCTGCAGCTGGAAAACGTGTTGCTAACATGACTGGGCTCAAGTGTTTCTAGATGCAGGCAAACTCGTAATGGTGCTGAAGAGTGAAGTGTGCATGAACTGAGGCCATCCTGGGTCTGACAGGAGTTTGGTACCGAGGACCTGAGGCCAGGGTGAGCACTGTAGGGCTGAGGCTGTTGCCCTGCCTGTGTCTTTCCCTAGCTGGTGTACATGGGCTTTGATGCTGTCACTGCGGAAACAGCACTGAGAGTGTTCAGGGGAAACGTCCAGCTGGCAGCACAGACCCTTGCGTACAACGGCGGGAGTCTTCCTCCTGACCTGCACCTCTCAGCAGAAGATTCTTCTTCATCAACACCGTCCGTATCCCCTTCCGATTCTGCAGGTATGTCTGGGGCCTTTGGACACTGCAGAGGGAGCAGGGTTCCTGTGAAATCAGACTGACACATGGGCACATCCACTCTGCAGGCTGGGGAGACAGGGTTGATCAGAAGGTCTGCCTCACATAGGGCTTTTCTTTTCTTTTTTTTTGCTTACTACTATAATATTTTATTATAGGTACTTCTAGTGCCTCAACTGATGAAGGTATGGAGATAGAGGCAGTCAATGAAATATTGGAAGACATTCCAGAACATGAAGAAGATTATCTTGACTCAACTCTGGAAGATGAAGAAATTATTATTGCAGAGTACTTATCCTATGTGGAAAACTTAAAGTCTGCAACCAAGAAAAACTAATGAACGGAAATAAGTACTAATTTTCTGCTTATAAATTCTGTCATTATGAACAGTTTAAGCAGGCCTTCTTTTTTCTTCTTTTTATCTGCTTTTGCTACTTGGGTGCGGGGCAGACGGGGAACCAGAAGCATGTGAGGTCAAGGGGAGACTCAGTAGGGGGTCCCGGCTAGTAGTGGGTGAATGTGGCGTCACACCTTCTATTCCTTCTGCCTCCCACATTCCACCCTCCTGCTTGGCTTCTTCTCACTTAGAATTGAGATGGTGGTTCACCAGTGCCTGATGGGTGTTGGAGAACAGGGCAGTCCCTAGGGAAGATCTCCAGAGGTGGGCCATGAAGGGCTTCTAGGTAGGAGCTTCTGCCATCTCTGGGTCCTCTCTAGTATTCCTGCCCCTTGGCCCTGCTGTGAATTCTGTTCATTCTCACGTGCAGACTCTTCCTTCTCAGCACCCAACTCTTAACACTGTCCTTTCAGTCAGTCACTCCAAGCACTTGAAACATTAACGTTTTATGATCTGAGTTATAGTAAAATGCACTTGAAATTAAAGGTTGAAATTCAAATGTATTCTTATTTTTTCTTTTCAAAAGTTCTCTATTAAATGGAAAATTCATGAATGTGAATCAATGCAAATACTTTTTGGGGGGCTTGGTGTGCAGATGGTTTACAAAGTGAGCAGTCTGGGTTTCCATTTAACAATTCCTACACAAATTGTTCTGTGGCATTATTCAAAGGGATGAACTTTTAATGAGCAGTTTTAGACTATTATCCTAGTGAACTCACTGGTAGTTATGATGCCTCTCAGGGATTCTGATATCTTTTTCTCCTAGATTTTTGTTATTTTCTTAGTGCCATTAAGTCTGTTCTGACGCATCGGAGTTCTAAGGAGCGGCTGATGGATTTGAACTATCAACCTTGAAGTTAACAGCCAGTGCTTATCCTACAGCACCACACCAGGATCCCAATCTTCATGCAAACAGAAGTCTCTTCTACCATGGAGGGACTGGTAGATTCAAACTACTGGCCTTGTGGTTAGCAGCTCTGCGTGTTGAGTCAGCCTGTCAGGGCACAGGCTACATTCTCACTACACCTTATATTCTCTTGTAGATGCATGTTCAGTGGAAATCAGTTCCAGAACCCTAGGCCATGCTGGCAGCAAGTAGCTACTCAGGGAATCAAGTGCCGGATATATTGCTGAGCTTGCCTACCCTCCTCAGAGCTACTGGAAGCGCCTACGCTGAAAGGCACAGTGTGTCTGATTGTTGCTTTCAAAGGGCTGAAATACATCAACATTTTTAACTGAAATCTTGGATGAGTAGAAATCTTTTCTTTTCCTTAGCCTTTTTTTAAAAAAACACACTAATTTTGCTGAATATACACAGCAAAACATGTGCCCGCTCAGCAGTTGCTCCCTGACCACTTCAGTGACACTGGTTACATTCTTGGGTCACCCAGCCGTTCTCACTCTCCTTTTCTGAGTTGTTTCTCTGCCCCTACCGGTGGTGGTACTATTGTCAGTTTAATCCCGTATGGATGCTTTGAGAAGAGCATACTGCTCACAGCAGACATTCTGTACTAGTTAAACTAACTTATTTGGTTTTAAGATTTCAGGAAATACTTTTGGTGTAAGGTTTAGTGCTCATCTCAAGGCAATAGAGTTTAGGGGTTCACCCAGTCTCCATGGCTCCAGAAAGTACGGAGGTCCATGAGAATTAAATTGTCTTCTCCAGTTGCCCCCTTTTGATCAGGATTCTTCTATAGAATCTTTAATCAAAATGTTCAGGGAATGGTATTGAGATGCCATCCAGTTCTGGTCTCATATAAAAAGAGGCAGGTGTTTATGAGGCAATTAGCCACATAGTCAGTTCCTTCTATGCCTGACTCCGTCCCCTCTGTTTTTCTAGACAAATAGAGACCCAACAGTTGTGCCATGGATGGCTGCTTGCGAGCTTTTAAAACCCAGGCACTATGCAACCAAATGGGAGGCAGAACAGACACTACTCACTTTATTATGCAAGTTGACCGACAGCGCCATAGCATGACCCCACTGTTGTGAAGTGCAGTTGAGAAGTTCAAAGGAGTGGCTGGTGAGTTTGAACAGCGACCTTGTGGTTAGCAATCCAGTGTTTACCGTACACACCAGGACTCCTATAATAGTTCAATTTTTGTAGGTTTTGGTGTTTTTTTGGGGGGGTAGGGGGAACCACCATGCCATTTTCCACAATAGCTGAACCATTTTGCATTCCTACCTATAATAAAAAAGAGTTCTAATTTCCCCACATGCTCACCAACATTTGCTATTTTATGTTTGCTTTTTATCTTAGCCATCCCTGTTGATGTTAAGTACCTTTGAGTTAATTCCAACTCATAGTGACCTATATAACAGGGGTGGGGAACGTTTGGCCCATGGGCTGTATATGTCCCTTGATCATTTGGTCTGGCCCTGCCAAAGCAACTGGAAATCTAGTCATCACATTTGTTGTTATGATGTGCCGTGGAGTCGGCTCCAACTCATAGCGACCCTGTACAGGGTTTCCGAGGCTGTAAATCTTTACGGGAGCAGAAAGCCTCCTTTTTCTCCCACAGAACAACTGAAAGTTTTGAACTGCTGACCCTGAGGTTAGCAGCTCGATTCGTAAACACTACACTACCTGAGCTCTTTAGGGGGCAGTTAGTTAAATGTTTCACCAAATGTAGCAGGCTAATTTTAAGTTGATAATTTTGTATGGCCTGCAAATGATGTTTTAAAATTTGGCAGTAAAAGATTCCCCATCACTGCTGTATAGGGTTTTCAAGGAGTGGCTGGTGGGTTTGAACTGCCAACCTTGGGGTTAGCAGTCCAGTACTTATTTACAGCACCACACCAGGAGGGAGTAAAATGTATCTCATTGTGGTTTTGATTTCTCTCTCTCTTGTGACTAATGGTGTGGAGCATCTTTTCATGTTTGGTGGCCTCTTTGATGAAAATGTCTATTCAGATCCTTTGCTCCTCTCCCCTTTCTGCTCCTAAGTTGGGAGAGATTACTACTTTTTTTACTTAAATTACTTTTAAATTGAATTGAATTGCTGCTGAGAAGATACACAGTAAAATCTCCCTGTCTTCTCAGGTTTCTGTCTAGTCTTTCAAGTTGCTGTTGTCACTCTGATCCCATAGAGATTCTTTTTTTTTTTTAAACTTGTGAATTGGATACATATAGATAGTTCTTTGGAGTCCTGGTATGGCGCTGTAGGATAAGCACTGGACTGCAAGGTCAGTTTGAACTGCAAAGTTGACAATTTTAAATCCACCAGCCCTTCCTTGGAAATGCTATATAAGGTTGCTATGCATTGGAACCGACTTGACAGCATTAAAGAGCATAATGCTCAAGGTAAACATGTTTCACTAGTTAAGCTAAACTACTGTTTTAACAGTAAAGGAAGGTCTTAAAAAGATTGCTGGTAAACTTACAGATGTCAAAAGCAATTATGACGAGGACTCGGACAGAAGTGAGGAGATGTACAGATAAAATCTCAGACAGTACATATGGCACCAACAACAGAATGTTGCTAGAAATATGGACAACTGTGCTTTATAAGAAGGTGATGGACATGTGATTGGACTTTATGCAGTGGCAAAGAACTTGCTTGAATTATGTATAAATGTTTGGTAGAAGGTAGCACTTGTGAGTGATGAACTTGAATATTTTGCTAGTTGTGATGTGTGGTCTAAAATGAGACATCTCAGAAGCAGAAATGGACCCTCACTCACATAAGGGAAGAAGAAGAACCAGGAGATCTCCTTTGGATTTTGAGACTCCTGCACATTGAACCTCTGTGATCCAGGGAAAGAAAGCTATGACACTGGAAGAGTGACAGAGCAGCAGAACAGAACCAAGAGCCCAGAGCCTGAGACAGAGTGGTAGGCTTGCTCCCAGTCCATGGAGCAAGTAATGCTGAGTGGGGTGCCTCCAGGCACCTAATTAGGGGAGCTAGATTTGCTGGCCCACTAAGCTAGGCCTGAGTACCTTCAGGCTGAGGCCATGTATCATTAGCCCTAAAGCGCTTTGTAACACTGACTGGACAGAAGTCCACCTGTGGGCATGGACAGTATTCATAGTCTGTATCAAAGAAATGGTTAATGTTAAACCATTTCAAAAGGTAGCATATGTCCAAGAACTGATGGTGCTGAAGGAAGAGAAATCCATTGCATGGAAGCCACAGGGCTACCTAGGTAACTGATCGGAAAAGTTCCATATTTGTTCCCACTGTAAAAAGAGGTGACTCAATGGAATGTAGAAATCATTACCATTAGTATCCCATGCAAGTCAAATTTTGCTGTAGATAATTGAAAAACAACTGCAACAATACATTGAAACCTGCCACACACTCAACCTGGACTGAGAAGAGGACATGGAATATCATTGCTGACATCAGATTGATCTTGACTGAAAGCATAAAATACCAGAAAGATGTCTACACTTGTGCTTTGCTGACTATGCAAAGGCATTTGACTGTGTAGATCATGTTAAACTATGGATAACATTAAAAAAGGGTATTCCAGAACACGTCATAGTGTTTATGGGGAACTTGTACATAGACCAAGAGACAGTCATTCAAACAGAACAAGGGTATACTGAATGGTTTGAAGTATTCTTTCACCATACTTATTCAGTCTGTATGCTGAGCAAATAATCTGAGAAACTGGATTATATGAAGAAGAACATGGCATCAGGATTGGAGGAAGGCTCATTATTAACCTGTGATATGCAAATGATACAACCTTGCTTGTTGCAAATGAAGAGGACTTAAAATATTTACCGGTGAAAATCAAAAGACCTTCAGTATGGATTGCACCACAATGTAAAGAAAACAAAAATCCTCACAATTGGACCAATAAATATCATGATAATAAAGCCCTGGTGTGGCACTGTGGGTTAATACATTGGACTGCAAAGTCAATTGGAACAGCAAGGTCGGCAGTTCAAACTCACCAGCTGCTCCTTAAACCCTATACAGGGTCACAGT